GTTTGAAGTTTGAGGTGGCAAGACGAGCAAGCAGCCCCATTCTCTGTGCCTCTGTGCGAGCACTGCCATGGGCAGTGTTCTTCGTTGTAAACTTGCTGCGAGCAACACTTTAGCATTGCATCCTGCTGTGTTTTTTAAACGCAAAATAATGCCGGTCTTCTGTGGCTGGCAGTGTCCTCCTGCGTGTTGTCAGATTTTCTCCACTTGGCTCTCCTGCTGCGGTTCTTTCTTCAGTTGGGATGCTAAACCTGGTTGATGTTTAAATACTTTATATAATACTAAGTCAACAAACCTGATGTAGCATAAAACTGGCCAGAGGTGTCTGATATCAAGGCTCTTCCCCCAGACCCGGGTAAGCTGGGAGGTCTGCAGAGCTGGCAGATTCAGGTGTCTTACCTCAGGGATCCTACCTGAAGCAAGAGTGGGTGCTGTCTGGCTCCTCATGGGCACTGGAGCTTTCCCTGTTGAACAGATCCCACCCTCTCAGGGAAGGAGCTCCTGATAAAGGGCCTGGATTGCTCTCTGGATTTTCTGCTTGACTTCTAGCAGATGTTCTCTGTGGTGGGCAAAGAAATCTCTCTGCTACCTGTTGAAAATCACTTCTGTGTAGGTGTGATTAGAATGAAACAGAAGAGCTGCTTCTGGCTAATGTCTGCTGTTGCCACCTGGAGAACTCTCTTGGAGTGCTGTCAGCAGATCTGGGGATCTGCTCATCTGCTCTCCTCGACAGCTCTGCCGTCAGCACTACAACAAAGATGTTCTGCATACTGGTTGAATCTTGTTAAGCATAGGCAGGACCAAAGACAGACGAAACATTGTATCGGAATAGGGATAGGAATTTTTTTCTTCCTCAGTGAACGACGTATTTTCTCTATGTGTGTGGTTTAAAATACAGTTGAACTCCTAGGAACAAGGCTTTAATCTCTGGATAGCTTTGCATCCTGTAGGAGCAGGATGGAAGCTTTGATGGAAGTGAAAGCAAGCAATGCTGAGTCTGCGTTTCTGAAAGTCTCACTTTCTGGGACCTGCTCCCCCTTTTGTTAATTACTTAATTATGGCATAGTAATATTTGAGTAAAGATGTTGTGAGGATCCATCTCTAAATACTTGAGAAAGTGCATAGATGTTTTGGAAACAGATTGTGTGAATACCTCCACAGAGTGAAACTGAAGTTTTGTATCCTCAGAATGATTTTAGCCATTTTACCATTACGAGACCCACAGTTTCGTGGAGGAGCCACCGAAATAAATTCTAGCTTTCTGGGTGTGGTTCCATGGTAATTTTCTTTTTTTTTTCTTCCCTATTTTTGCCTTTAATGTAAACCTTTCTTGCTTCAAAAATACATGGAACTTCTATGTGTATGCATACATACATGTGTTTGTGTCTTAAAGGATGTCATTTTTAACTAAGACAATGTACTGCTTCTTTAAATCTCTGCAACTTATTGTCAGAGCTTAAGGCACTAGAGGAATTTTTAAAGAGTTAGTGCTATCTTAAAAGAAAATTCTCACAACTGTATGAACTAGCAATATGTCCTGAATGTGGTCGTAAACTGCGTGGTCTATTTAACCTAGTCAGTAATAGAGACCTGGGAGAGACCGAATTTATGGATAGATTCTTACTGCTACTTGCTACGAGGTGCTTGTGGTTTTTCTCTGAAGTGACAAATACCTGTGTGGGAGGTAGCCTACACAGCCTGTTGGGCTGGCCTATTTGGAAGTCCCCGAGCGTCCCTGATCCTCTGTGGTTTGGTACGCTGAGGCGGTGGGAGATCTGCCAGTCCCTGTGTGTTGAGTTTGCCCCTTTGTTGAAATGCAGTTTCTCTTTTATAGCTACTGTTTGAGTTATTCTGTTCATTATCTCGCGTGATTATATCACCACAATTTGGTAGTGCTGAATGGTTGTGTTGGGTCTTTTTTCTTTTTGGTAGACAAATCTGTTTTCCTTTATTTAGCAGATATTTGGCTTGTAATTTCGTGAAGGCGACCACTGTTTTCCTCACCTGTAATTGTGTGCTAATTGTAATTCTTTAAACTTATTTCCTCAGTGGGATTCTGCTTTTTCTGCAGTTGGAGAAGTAGCCTTGTTCGTACATTGTCATGACTGACTGCTGCTTTTGTGTATTTTCATAGCTGCTAAAGCCACCTGGATTTGATGATGGAGTCTTTGCTGGAAGGGATGCAAAGAAATCAGCAGGGGAGGTATGTATGCAGCAGTGTACACCAGTTAATCAAAATCAATGAAGTACTAACCTTCCCTTTTACTAAGAATCAAATCCTCTGGTATCAAGACAAAGCTTCTGTTGCTTAAATAAGGGCTTTGGAGTTCGTCCACTAGCGCATGCTGGTGGACAAATGCAGTGTGCAGTGGGCTTCAGCTGGTGCCGAAGCGAAGTCACTGGTGAGCTGGCTTTGCAATAATCCCTTGTCAGACATAGTCTTAATTGTTAGAATTTTAATTTTATATCTTCCTGAAAACTTTACCTCTTTTTTTTTTTGTTGTGTTGTTGTAAACCCTTCTTACCTTCTAACATCAGGAGCAGTAGTAATTAAAGGTGTGAATAAATATTTTTTTGTAACAGCTTTACAAGGTTAGTGAGAGATGTCCTTGTTATCTGTTTTTACTGAAAACATCTGATTATTTCCTGCTCGTGTTGAAACTGTGGAGTCCCATTCGTCTCTGAAGAATCCTTAATGCTCTGTCTTAGGTGAAAGTATCTAGACTTTTGGATCCCAGAGAGAGACTGTAGTGCTAATAACGGAAAAAAAAAATGTTTTATGTGTTAAACAAGCGTGAAGCAAAAGTCACAGATGCCATTTTCATAGTCATCTTTGAGAATGTGACCCAAATCTTCTACAGATAACTGGTTGCAGAAATCAAGTTTAGACTTAGCTTTATATTAGCAGATGCTGTGAAGGAAATGTTCTTGCTCTGCATAATAGCTGCTAATTTTTGGTTAACTCGCAGGACAGGGTGAACTTCAAATTTAGCTGATTTTGGCTCTTTTAAGAAGTATTTCTTTCCCTATAGAAAAACTGCCAAGTTGTGAAGTGCGCATATGCTCTGGGGGGAACAGAGAAATTTCAAATTCCTTAACCTATTGATTTCCATTTCTTTTCATTGCTTCTTGTTTGACAGGCAAATTAAAGGGGTAAAGATCATCACGGAGTTCACTGCTCTCTAGGGCTATATCTTGCAAGCTTGAATATTGTCCCTGGCTTAGCAGCTTGTGAAGTTTTAGAGGAGTAGTTGAATTGGCTTCAATAATTACTGCACCAAATTAGAAATCGCAGCGTCGCTAGGGAGCATGCTCTCCCCAATGGATTGCGGTTGTTTTATTCTTCATTATCATGTTGTCATCCAACCCCCTCTACTGTGGGGTTTGTCTGCATTTGTGATAAACTTCTGTTTTCAGGAGCTGATAGCTTGGCTGTAAGATTTCTCTGGTGACTGAAACTTGGTATAAAATGCCTCTGCCTGGAGAGCAATTAAGGCAATTACAAAATATGGATAAAACGTGCTCCAGTTTACTTAGATAATGTATAGTACTGAGACATGGGATGAGTGTTTATAGGTGCCTGCTGTGCTTCTCTGAATAGAAGACAACTCCTCTAATTTAAACTGTGTAGGTCGTTTATTCTCACTGGGATTTCACAAGCATTCTTCATGGTCATTGCCAAACTTTGGACCCAGTGATACGAGCATACCGCTTGTGAGATACTGCATTAGAGAACTGGATGAACGCGTAGTATTCGATACATTTCTCCGCAAGCTAATGTGCATAGAGTTCAAAGCATTGCATGTGCGGAGTTGGTCCCTTGGTGTGGGTCAGTTTGTTCTGCCGACTTTGTTGGTGTGGGATGCTGTACCTGTGTTGGGT